TATTTTTCTTTTTAAATACACACACACGTACACACACATACCCAACAGAAAAATAACTCATCTGTCAGTTTATAACACTGTGTGGTTTGTGTGTTGCTGGGAGGATGGAGGCTTTGCCACTGGTATTTCAAATACTAGTAGAGTCACCTATGATGGGCAAGTTTCAGCAGGGCTTCCAGACTAAGACAGACTCAGAAGAAGGAAGGGGCCATTCACTTCTTGAAGAACTGGCCAGTGAAAACCTTATGAGTAGCACTGAAACACTGTCTGATATATTACTGGAACACTTAATGAATAGCCCAGAAACATTGTCAGATACAGTGCTGGAAGATGAACCCCTGAGGTTGGAAGGCACTCAAAATACAACTGGGGAAGAGCTGCATCATCAAAGTAGCCAAAAAAAAGAGACCAAACTCACTACCGTTGAGTGTAGAGTTGACCTTAATGATGTGGATGGAGTAAAATTTTTGGGACCTCCATTTACTGATGTGGCAAGACTCAAAATGGGAAGAAACAGCTGCAAACATCTATTAATAATCAGAACGTGTAATGTACGATGTAAGAATGAAGAAAAATTGGAAGTTGTCAAAAATGAAATGGAAGACATAAAGATCGATATCCTAGGCATTACACCTGAAATGGACTGGTTTTGGCCCTTTTGAATCTGACAATCATATGATCTACTATGCTGGGAATGGCATATTGAAGAGGAATAGTGTGGCATTCATCATCACAAAGAATATTTCAAGATCTATCCTGAAAGACAGTGCTGTCAGTGATAGGATAATATCCATATGCTTATAAGGAAGATCAGTTAATATTACTATTGTTCAAACTATGCACCAACCACCAAAGCCAAAGATAAAGATATTGAAGATTTTTAGCAGCTTCTGCAGTCTGAAATTAACTGAATATGCAATCAATATGTATAGATTATCACTGGTGATTGGAATGTGAAAATTGGAAATAAAGAAGAATCCCTGGTCATTGGAAAATAGGGCCTTGGTGATAGAAACGACACTAGAGATTGCATGGTAGAATTTTGCAAGACCAGTGACTTACTCTTTGCAAATACCTTTTTTCAACAACACAAATGATGGCTATACATGTGGACTTCACCAGATGGAATGCACAGAAATCAGACTGACTACATCTATGGCAAGAGTCGGTGGAGAAGTCAATATCTTCAGCCATAAAAAGGCCAGGAGCTGATTGTGGAACAGACCATCAATTGCTTTTATGCAAGTTCAAGTTGAAGCTGGAGACAAAAGAATTCCAAGAGAGCCAGAATATGACCTTGATTATATCCTTCCTGAAATTAGAGACCTTCTAAGGAATAGATATGATGCATTGAACACCAGTGACCGAAAAGCAGAGGAATTGTGGGATGACATCAAGAACTTCATCCATGAAGAAAGCAAAAGCTTATATAAAAGACAGGAAAGGAAGAAAAGACCAAAATGGATGTCAGAAGAGTCTCTGAAACTTGCCCTTGAGTGGAGAGTAGCTGAAGCAAATGGAAGAAATGACAAGATAAAAGAGCTGAACAGAAGATTTAAAAGAGCAGCTGAAGAAGACAAAGCCTATTATTATTATGAAATGTGCAAAGACCTGGAGTTAGAAAACTATAAGGGAAGAGCATGCTTAGCATTTCTCAAGTTGAAAGAACTGAAGAGAAAATTTAAACCTCAAGTTGCAGTATTGAAAGATTCTTTGGGCAATATATTGAATGATGCAGGAAACATCAAAGAAAGATGGAAAGAATACACAGAGTCACTGTACCAAAAAGAATTGGTTAATGTTCATCCATTTCAGGAGGTGGTATATTAAGAACCAATGGTACGGAAGAAAGAAGTTGAAGCTGCACTGAAGGAATTGGTGAAAAACAAGGCTCCAGGAATTGACAGAAT